AAAATATTTGCATTAAAAGAAATCTTGATAATATTCATTATATATTTACTGATATTATAAAAATTGGAAAATATAGAATTAAATTATTACTAAGTCTATATTTTTGAGGAACATGGAATGTAGAATGACTTAGCATTAATTTATAATTTAATTATTAATCATCAGAGAACCTCTCTATATCTTTTTAAAAGTAAAATAGTAAATGGGATTGTGAGACCATCAAAGAATTCTTGAAGTTGTTGAAAATCTATTGAAACAATTTCTCAAATTATTATTTTTAAGTGCAATATTAAGTGAATAAATTTCTTCAAAATATTTGTAACTAAAATAAATTAAGGGCATTCTCAAGCACCTCAATCAATAGGTCAAAGTATGTTGAAAATGTGTTGAGAATTAAATATTAATTAGCAAAATTATTTTTAATCAATCAATTGAGCTTGTCATTAAGTAAGGTGGTTTATATGTGAAATAATAAAAAATTTAGTTAATTAGTTTACCATTTTAGACAAAAACTTTTTGCCCTGAACTACCTTTTAATTTTTTGTGCAATTTTATCAAAACTTTATAACTATTAAAGTAGATAAAGTATTGCTTAAGCTTTTCATGTATTTTTCACTTTTTGGTAAAATTTTATAAAATTTATTACTAAGCTAAATATAAATTGAATTTAAGAAATATTTACATAAAAAATTTTTGTAATATTCAGATATTTATTTGAAACTAGAAAAAATAGAATTTAAATTGTCACTAAACCTATATTCTGAAGAAATAAAAAATGAAGCTCTACTTAATATCATTTCAATATTATTATTATTAATCAGAGGATGTTTAAACATTAAAATATTTTTTTGATATTGATTAACAATATTTACTTTCTTTTGTAGCCAATTATATGCTAAATTGTTATCAGGAATTTGGTATAATTCTTTTCAAACATTACAGTATCTTTTTTTAAAAAAAATAACACACGTAATAAGCTAGAATTATACTGAAGATTGAAACTTAAGTATAATTCTTGAAGCTATATAAAATTCACAGAATTAATTGCTTTAATTATTGCTTCTTTATAGGTTGGGTTCACATCTTCAGGTAATAAAGTTTCTTCGAATTCTTTACGACTAAAGTAAATTAAATTAAAAAATAAAAAAAATAAAAATCGATAAAAAAAAAAGGAAATGCAATTTTTAATTACCTAATTAAAGCATCGACAATACATTGTCTACAAATTTTGATTTTTAACTCATAAATTATTACGGGATCGGTAATTTCCTCATTACAATGTAGACATTTTTTATATCTATATAAAAGATGAGATTCCAGCCTTGATAAAATTTTGGGAAATTTAAAAAAGTAATTTCTCCAAAAATTTTGATATTCATTAAAATGATTATTTATCTTACTATTAACCGATCTATTTACAAGTAAAAAATTTAAAATGTCTCTTGGGAATAAATTATTAGCAATTTCAGCCAAAATTTCTGGAATTTCCAATTTTACAAATGTTGATTTTGTCTCAATAATTAAATCTTCATCTTCAATAATTTCGATGATCTTTGAAGGGCCAGCTTCAATCGTATCTTAATTAAAGATTCACATAAATTAAATAAAATACTTATGCTGAAAAAAATTCAATATATATTTACGTTGTTCGTATTTTCTTTTATATGCATCAATTATTTCTTGAATTTTTTTTAATGCATTTTTCCTTTCATGTTCTTTTCTATTTATTAATTCGCCTCCTTTTTTATTTTCATTTAATTGAATTAAACTGAAATTGTGACTGAGCTGATTCATTTCATTGCGTAAGTAATTATTTTCTTTTTTTAATTCATTAAGTTCATCTTGTAAATTCTTGACTTTAATTTGCAAATCTTCGATGGTATTTTTGACACACTTAATTTCAATTGTTCAAAATTTATAATCATTCTCAGTAATATCTTTACACTTAAGTTGACGAGAAAGAAGTTTCTCTGTTTCAGTAAGATATTGTATCGCAACTTTGCCGAGATCACATTTTCCAGATGAAAGTTGACGTTCTAAGTTTTTAATCAATGCTTCTCGAGGCATTCTTTCTATTCTCTAATTTCAGAAATTTTGCTTTATTGATTCATTTTAAATAAAACTGTAAATTACAGTTTTGACAAATCACGAGTAATTTTAGTATTAACGTTAAATTCTAGTCTTATCGTTAATTATAATTCTGATACAGAATCATGATCAAAAACAGGGTCTAAGCAGGTTTTTCAACTTGAAATACTGTATGCCATATATATATCAGAAAATGCTCAAAGTTTGGGGTCAATCACTTTGTTCTCGCAACAGATAATCAATGTGCACCTCGTGGTATAGTGTGATTGCCCGATCTGGACGGATAATCGAAGAAAATTTCAAATATATAATTACCAATATGTTTAAACAACTACTAAAGTCATAATGGTAGAAGCTAATACTTACGAGGACCTTAAATTTATTGACCATACCGTGGTAACTACAAATTTGCACGAAAGCTCTAAAGAAGTTGCTTTATTACTATTCGAATCGTGGAGGAATGACGATTTAGAACTTGTGCAATTTAAAAGTGGAATCACTAATAAACGTAGGTTGTCTGTCACTCCTCGTAAAACTTTATCTGTTATTATTAATGATTCTTAAATATAAAATTTCTTTTATAGTTGTAAAATGCACAAATAAACGCCTCCAAGATTCTATATTGATTCGTACTTATGGTAAAAAATCAGACGTCCTTATTGACAGAAAACGAGAAATTACGGTAAGAATTTTTTTTTTTAATCAACGCGTTGCACGTAAGCCTTCAATATATCTAATTAACAATTCTTAAACGACTACATAGAATATAAGATATCTATCTAAGCTTGGACTAGTCCGTCCAGTATATTGCCGATTTAATAATGGAATTGTATATGGTTATACTCCTGGTCGTGCGCTTTCCATACCAGACATGAGTAATTGGCGCATATGTCTGCTCATTGCGGAACATATGGCAGTTTGGCATAAGGTAAACATCTCTAATGAAAAAGAATCGACATTATTTCCTGGTTTATGGAAGTGGTTAAGAGAAGGTAGCATTTCATATTAATTTCATCATTACTTTTAACATAATTTGCAGATTAACTCTTAATATTATCAAAAATTTACTGCTAGTACCGAAATCATATATCGATCCAAAAACTGATGAGAAATTTCAAAAAAATTTTAAATTGGAGGAACTCTTCAATGAAGTATGTACGTTGTAAATTTTTATTAACGAAAAAAATTTTTTAGCAACTAATAAAATGTTTTATTTAGTTGACTGGTTTGGAAAATGAACTGGTAAAGATAGGGTCTCCTATTGTGTTTTGTCATAATGACCTATTGAATGGAAATATTATTTATGAAGAATCCAGAAACAAGATTTCGTTCATAGATCTGGAATATGGATCAATGAATTATAGATCATTTGATATTGCGAACCATTTCAATGAATTCGCAGGTAAATTTAAGATAAGGATTCTGTTATATGGTGCACTGTGCAATTAGTGCACCGTGCATTTGTGCACCCCTACTATATCTCAAAATTTACTAGGATAATCCTGTTGTGTAACCAAAAAATACTCCTCTTGCAATTTTACCCTAATATCTTTATTATATTTATTTGGCTATTAAAACGTAGAGGTGCACTCAGTGCACGAGTGCACTGTTTAAATTTTTTCTTATGATAAATAGATGTATTAATGGTTAATGATTTCCACCCATAAATTTCTAGGGTTTGAATGCGATTTTAATTTATACCCATCTAAAGAATTTCAAAAAAAATGGTTGAGACATTATCTTTGTTCATATAATCCTGGTAAAGTTATTTGTTGATGCATTTATACTGTTTTCATAGAATATAACTGTTTTTCACAAAATAATATTTAAATTAATATTTTTGTTTGCATTGTTTAATAGATGCCACAATTACTGAAGAAGTTAATAAATTATATCGAGAGGTCAATAAATTCGCGTTAGCATCTCATTTCTTTTGGGGTGTGTGGGGATTGGTAAATGTCATTTTTTATTTAACTGGCAAAATGAAGTTATCGAATGAACGCTTACTAATAGGCATATTTTTAGGTTCAGGCCCAGTTCTCCGAAATTAATTTTGACTATATAGAATATGCGAGATTAAGGTTTAAAGAGTATTATAATAAAAAAGAAGAGTTTCTAGCATTATAAATGTTATAGAATTTTATATTCTTTTTGGGGGTTTTTTTTTTGACTTTTGTCTACGCGTATTCTAATCAGCTATATATTAGACAATACTTTTGTTTCTATTTTTAGTTAATTATGATAAATTTTAGTTTTAGCATTTTATAGTATCCAGAATAACAAAATAATAATTACTTTATTGGAGAAATATAAATAGTATATGGGATTTTTGGGTTTAAATTATTATGTATATTATATTTATTTAGGAATTGCTATGTCCACCATGGTTATACAAGATTTTAGATTTTTAGACAATAATATAAAAAAAACTTATAACCCTAATTTTGCTTTAAATTTTAATATTACTCTAATCCTAACCCTAAAACTAATAAGTAAACCTTTTTTTTTTTTACTTTAAGTGAAGTTGTAAAAAGCTTTTTCTGGTTCTAATAGTGGTTAGATCATCAAAATCGGCCTGGTGAATCCCAAGATATTTGGAGTTAAATGTGTAAACATAAAGATTTTTTTTTTTTTTTAAATATTAATATGATTATTTAGGCCTCTAGCACTTTATTAATACAAGCAGGTAATGCTCCTAGGTCCGGTCTGGGTTCGGTCTGGTCCGGGATCGAACCAGACTCAGACTCTAAATTTTACTAGTTTCGGACTTCAGACCAGACTCAAACTTAATTATGAGTCCGGTTCGGGTCTGGTCCGAAGTTTGCAAACTAGTTTGAGTCAGAATATATTTACATATATATTTTTGGTGCTGAGCAAATTAGTCTGATTTGAAGTTCAGTCCAAAGTTTGCAAATGTTCGAGCAGATTTGTAATACAAATCTGCTCACATGATAAGCTAAGCCATAAAAAAACCTACCAGACCGAACCGGACATTTGCAAACTTCACTGATATAAATCAATTGCCCGGATAACTTATTCATAAACTTTACTGCTATTATCATAATTCCTGAAACACCTAATAAAAATTAGCCGAATGATTTTTCGGCCGATTCGGTTAAGTTTGTAATTTCGGAATAATATATTCAGTAAAATTACAAAATTGTACGTAACTTTAATATTAAATAGTGCAATGGCGCAAAAGTTTTGCCACCATTACTAGACTTTATGTGCCGGCTCTACGAAAGTTCTGGCCAATGTTATTCATATAACAAAAATTATATGTAATTTTGACATTAGAAACTTATACAAATTTACGCAAAAAACGATACGTTCAATGTTATTAAATTTTCGGTTGAATGTTTGGTGTGTTTT